GAGCCACCGAGCTCGAATGATGTCCGCGGTGTCCTTGACCTGTGACGCTGGGACGGGGCGAAGCCTTTGATGCTGCAGCTAGTTGTTTGTTTCTTTGGCGATTGCCGCCTCGAACTCCTTGCGCTCTGCGGGGTTCATATTCGACCAGGAGAGCTCGAGCTTGTCCTTGCGCCGCTGGTTGGCGATACAGCTGTCAAGTACAGTGTCCATCAGGCCCTTGCTGTCCGGTTTCTCTGCGCTCTCGTTCTTGATGTACTCGAAATAGACCGTCTGGTGTTCGTCCGTTCCCAAGAGGATGTCCAGGTCGTCTTTCTGGAGGTCCACCCAGAGCTCCTTGTCGTCTGTGTCATCGTTGCCCTTCTGCCGCTTCTCTGGTGGTCGGTAGAGATCGAGTTCGGGTCGATGGGTCATGCGGTACCTCGGGCGAGCTCCCGATGATGATGACGAAGAACCTCCAGGTTGTGCAGGATCTGCTGCGGCAGGAGCTGGTTCTGCGGCAGGAGGTAGCTCCAGTTGAGGTGGGTCCTCTGGTGGTCCTCTGTCCACTGGTGCCCCAGGTTCCTGGTCTCGATCCTCTTCCGCGGTCTCGCCTGGTTCCGCTTCGGGTTGAGCGATTGACCGTGGTGTGGTGTGCCTGGACTCGATGGGTATCGTCTCCTCGTCCATGGCGGCCGCTGGTGGTGCTTCAGCCGCATCTTCTGGTGGTGCGCCAACTGGAACTTCAGGAGGTTCGTAGGCCTGGAGATCTGGTCGTCGTTGGTCAAGGAGGTTCTGGAATGTGCCCGCTTTGGCCGTCTCCAGGATATCCGTCATGGTCTTCCCTAGGTTGGCCTGCTTCTTGAGCTCAGTGATCATCTTCTCGGCTTCTGAAGCCGGTCGGAGTTGTTCTGGGGCGCACCTAATCAGCGTGTTCCCATGGGCGATCCAGACCACTGATGCGACTCGCGTTCGGCCGTCGACGTGGCGCTTCTCTTGGACGAGAACGCGTGCTGGTCCATACCAGCCTCCCTTTTTCCCAGGGCGGTTCTCACGACCCTTGCCGTCGCGTCAGAAGTACACGAGATCGCCGGCCTCCCAGGTCTGGTACACTCGATTCCTTGCCTGCTCTGCATGTCGCCGACGTTCAGCATATTCACATTCGAGATAGCTTCGCCGAGCTTGTAAGCGTCTCTGCTCCTGCGTCTCACCGGTATCCCCATCGATGATGGCGAAAGGGTTGCTCGAGTGCGGCATACCTGCAACTCCCAGAACATCTTCGAACGGAGAGTGATTCCCAACCTTGTCCATGGAGTTGATCGCGCTCACGGCCCAAGTGACCAGCTCCTGCGTGTCACATTCGGGGTCGAGGATGGCGAGCTTTGTCATGAACCTCTTGAAAAATTGGATGCGGCGCTCCACCTTGCCCATCAGCCAGTGTGCCTCGCCGGGGGCGATCCAGAGCTCGACCCCGTGGTCGGAGGCCCACTTCGCCACGGCCTGCGAGCAATGGCAACCCTCAGGATCCATGCGAAGCAGAGTCGGCCGACGGTAGTGACTGCACCAAGATTCCCACGTGGCGATGACTTCTGATGCTGAGCGATTGCTGCTGCGCTCACCCTTCTGCCCGTGGTAGGTCACACTGGTGAGCCCGGAGCCCTCGTCCAGGTTCAGCGTCATGATGTGCGATGTCTGCTGTGGTGACAGCCACTCCAGCCCATCAGTCGCAAGGACTTCCAGTACTCCGGGTATCTCCACCCCGGAGGCTACTCGGACGGCTTTCGGCAACTTTCCAACATGACATCCATGGCGCTGAAACCAGAGGGCTAGTCGTAGTACAGGCACTGGCGCTCCGGATGCCTTGAGTATCTTGTAGAGCGCCTTGTTACTGGGATGGCCGAGGTTCCGATGGAGACGAGCCAGTCAATGTTCAATCTCGGAGGTCTCCTTCTTCGTCAGCTCGGTCTTCACGCCCAGGCCCTTGAGAGTGGCCTCGGCTGTCTCCATCTTGATGTCCTCGCCATTCAGCAGCTCCTCCGTCTCGTCCTGCATCTCGACGTCATCTTCCTCTGGGATCTGCTCGAGCCCTGCGAAGATCTCCTTGCCGTACTGGACGTTGACGTTCTTCCGGAGGACATGTTTCGCCCAGGCTTTGCACATTGCTGGCGGATAGTAGGCCGTCTGAGCGACCATGGGCCCGACCTCGATGACGCGGTGGAGGTGATTGTCGCCGCGCCCAGGACGATTCGAGCAGAGGCGGCTCACCTTCGCGCCGAACTCGGGGTCGGTAGAGCAGTTCCATCTCGGAGTCCATAGGCACAGCCATGAACTATCGTCTCGTGCATCTCTGCACGCATCTTCTTGATGGATGGTGATCGGGCCCAGCTCCTGCTGTTCCACGGTCGTTCCAGCTCGATATGGCAGTCGGGGATCTTCTTCGCCTCCTCGTAGAGCGCAAGACAGCCCCGTTGGATTCGCCTCGCCTGACGGACCTTGGTGGCCAGCTGATTCTTATGGGCCTCTGTCTTCTGGTTGAGGTTCTGGATGGGACAGTCGGCGGTGCACGGTGGGCTGAGTACGAGACGCTTTGAACGCGCCAAACGAAGTAGATATGTTGCTCGGCGGACTCCAGTTGCCGTACCTATGTCGTAGCCGTTGAAGAGCCCGCACCAGACCACAGTCCCACCTTGCGCCTCCACAGCCTGTCCCAGGGAGGATTCTCGAGGACAGCAGACTTCCATGAGGTCCGCTCGCGTGGCCTTGGTCAGGCTGACGGTGTCCTCGCCGATCTCGAAGTAGATCTTGTCCATACTTTGGTCTGCGCCTGATAGAACGTTAGGAGGTCCGAGCTGTCCAGCTGGTTCAGAGGACCCGCTCCGTCTGCGTCCCGATTTCCTCCGAGTGGTCCAGCATGCTGTCGCCCGCTCCAGGCAGAAGCTCCCGGGGCCCCGCGGGGTCGCGCTCCGCTTGCCTGGTCGCCAATCTGCGCCATCGCATGGCCACGACCTGGCTCCGGATGTCCCCCGTTGCCTCGGTGATCGACTCCGTCTCCGTGGTCGCCTCGTCGGGGTGCAGCTTGAGGCACTTGTGATTCTGCCCGCCGCGGCAGCTGCATCCCGTGATCGCCCGATTGGGGGCCTTGCAGCATGAGCATCTCGACCGAACGGTTGTGGCTGGTGCCGCGGGTGGCGGAGGTGGCAGACGTGCTGCAGGTGGTCAAGCAGGATGAGGTCCGTGCCGAGCCCACAGATGGAGGCAGTGGTGCGACTGGCCCCCGTGGCAGCTGCATCCCATCCGGTTCCGACCCACCGCTCCACAGCATTGACATCGGCCTGACAGGATGAGTGGAGGTGTCGCCGGTGCTGATCCCGCCGTTGAGAAAGAGGCTATCGGTGTCGCAGGTGGGGTCCTGCTTGAGTCCTCGGATGCACCCACTCTGGTCGCTCCGAAGGTGGCCGCTGTCGCGTAGAAGGGTCTCCACATGACATCCGACGCGCACGTATATGGAGGATATGGAATAGTTGTCGCACTGGGGTCCGCGAGGATTCCGGCACAACGATTTTGGGCCACACGAGGCTGAGGAACGTGGCACGGTCTCATGGGTTTTTGGTCATAGGCTTTCTGGCACAGGTGTACCTCGAGTCCCGCTTTGGGCCCCTCAGAGATCTTCCCAGACGTCCTCAAGATATTCCCAAAACTCGTTCGTGACCTCAAGCCCCTTGGCGCCTCTGAAGTCCTCGAGGGTGTCCCTGGGCTGGTACCAATCGACCCCCTGGTCTTTGTCGGTCTCGGACTGCTCGTACATGGCGATGCCGTCGGACTGCTCTCGGTAGGTGATCGTGTCGGTCTCGGCGGTCTCGATCGGCTGGGGCTCGGGGTTCTCCCTGAAGTCATTGAGCCCCTCGAGGACCCTGGCATGTCACGACTAGTGGTGTCGCTCATGTCGTCCCTCGGTCCAGTGATTCCACCCGGGCTTTCTCCTGGCCCCCCCGATGATGAAGTTGACGATGGAGATGATGTCTCGCTCGCCGCCATCACCAGGGGGTGCTGGGGCCTCTCCAGCTTCTCGTCCAGTACGATGGAGTCCTGCTCGGCCGTGTTGACGCGGCAGTTCTCCAGAGCCAAGGGGACGGAGACCTCGCGCCACCACTGGCGTTGAAAGGTTGATCGCCAGGCGCTTGCTCCAGAGCCTCTCACAATAGTAGACCTTGTTGCCCAGCGTTGGCAGCCCGATCCAGTTGCGGCCGCAGTCGACCACCACCTTCAGGTCATCTGTCAGGATGTCCATGCCTAGCAAGATAGGGACGCGGTTCGCCATCACTGAGAGACTGATGGGCCGCAGCTTCGGGCCCAGGAAGGCTTCTCCGGCGACCGTCCCCATCGAGCTCTTTTGGAGACCGTCGCCGAACGTGAAGGAACACACGTCGTCGTGGGCCTCGAACTCTACGTCGTGGTTGACCAGTATCTCGTACATGAGGTTCTCCACGCTTTCGATGCCGCCGAGGCTGCGTGTCGCGCCGATGTCCAGCACAGCCCAGATCCCCTCGCGCTCCAGCAGGTACACGTACTCGTCCAGCGCCGACAAGAAGAAGCCGTTGTGCGTGGTCCCGTTACTGCCGCCCGCGTAGTTCCCGACCTTGCCACGGTCGGGGCAGTCTCGGGCTCGATGACCGAACTGCCGGCAGACGATGCACTTCATCTTGGCCAGTTCCCGCGAGACGTCGAAGCGAATCCAGCGATCTTGTTGTCCTCGGCCACGGCCTTTACCAGGTCCTCGGGGTCGCTTGTCTGCGGATGCCTTCGGAGGCGGTGCTGACCGTCCGTCGTCCCGCTGGACCACCACCGGGTAGTAGTCCCTCGCGACACGTACTTGTCGAAGGAGATCACGAGCGTCCTTGAAGTTCCGGCCCGCTTGGCGAAACTGTGCGAACACCTCATCGTCCGCGTCCATGTCGTCGGCCTCCACCTCGTCGTCTTCGTCGGCGAGATGGATCAGTTGTTCGGCCAGCTCGTAGATCTCATCTGCTTCCCCGCCAATCTCGTCCTCGTCCTCCTCGGCGTCGCTCTCGAACAGAGCTCTCTCGCGCTTCACCTTGCCGTCCAGCTCTGCCAGGGCTTCCGCTGGGAAGCGCGTGAGCAATATCTTTTAGGTCTTCGGGAAGTTGAAGTTCCCTTTAGGGGTAGCCGTCACTTCACCTCGAAGTACAGGAGTGAGCCTCGACTTCCTCAGGAGCCACCAGGTTCGTAGCGGCTTGGCAATCACCTCTTTAACGTCAGGGTCGAGCGCCTGGAGCTGCGTCAGCAGCTCTCTCTCCTTCTTCTCGAACTGAGCTGCCCAGCCCTGGAACTTCTCGCTGGAGTTGCGGCCGATCTTCAGAAAGAACTCTTCGACCAGCAAGCCCGTATCGTTGAGGCTGGTGGCTCCGAGGAGGAAAAGGTACCCCATACCTCTACCCTTACCTCGCTTTTCCCCTTTCTAGGGCCTCTCCTGGGAGGCCCTCGTCGCCACCGCTGGATTCGCTTCGAAAGGAGAGGTCCGGCAAGTAGTGGTATCTTGGAAATTTGAACATCTACATTGCCAGTGGCGGGCTGTTTTTCAATCCCAGGTCTTTTTTAAAGATCGGGGACGACGTCGGGGTGGTGTGGTGTATACTTTTTTAATCCGTTCCCGAGGGGAACAACGAAACATGTATACACCAGGGCCCGTATTCACCAGGATTCGCTTTCCTCTGCACATTTCAGTGCAGGGCCGGAAAAAGCGTCGGTGCATAGAGTTCGGTTCCGTAGTATCGGTACTTTTTGGTTTCCCCACTGTCGTGGAACCTGTTCGTGGCCGATGCTCGCCGTGGTCAGGCAGGTCCTGTCGTTCCTCCTTTGGCGTTCCTGCTGGCAGCGCGTCGACTGTGGTTGGCGTCCCCCGATCCTGGAAGGACAAAAGAGGCATGGGCGTACATCGACTTTCGGAGGTCTGCGCAGATTTTTTGTGTCGGCGCCGGGCCTCCTCCCACACCCTTGCTTGACCCAAAAGGTGCAATAGATTTGCGGGGTTGCAATAGATTTGGGGCGTGCAGTACATTCCGGTGCGCAAGTGTATTGCTGGATTTTCGCGTGCAACACAGTAGATGCAATACAGTGCAATGCACTTCGGCATTTGCAATACAATGGCTTCAAACCTATTGCGCCACCCCCTTTCAGCGGGACCCTCTCTTGGGTCAACCAGAGCACCCCTCCCCTGGCGCGCGGTGCGCGCCAGGGGTAAAGGCACCGCCAGGGGTGTGGGGAGGGGGCCCCAGTGCCGGCCCGACAAAAATCCGCGCTGAATTCTGAAACGGGTTTACGTCCATACAGTCGGAGGTGGATAGACCTCCTACCTTGACACGTCGATTAAGGAATTGGCCGTTTTCAGTTCGCGAGAGGGCGTCGCGGCCATCATTTTTGCGGGTCCGAGTCCGTCGGTTTCGGTCCCAGGCTGTTTTCACTAAGGGGAGGTTTGCTAAAGGGAGGTTTGTCCACCGCCGACACAGCTTTTGTTTCTTCTATTTCCAGCACCGCAGTTCGTCGACGCCCTCTGCCCCAGCGACCTGGAGGTGCTGGAATGGTACAATTCCGACAGGGTGGCGAAGTACCCGCCGTGTTTTCGATGCGGCGGCATCATGACCTGTCTCTGCCCGAATAACGTGTTGCTGGTGGAGCAGGTGGCGAACTGGCTGTCCTTCCGGAGGGCGTGGAGGACCATGGCGGAGGGGCCGCACGACTGGTACCTCCTGGTCGAGGACGACGTGAAGTTCACCCGCCGCGCGGCCGAGTGCTGGAACGCGCTCGTGACCCCGGCGCTGCTGCAGCGCTGCTCGGGCCTTCCGTGCATCGTGCGCTGCGGTTGGCAACTCTGGTGGGACTACGTCGACGATCTCCCGCCGGAGCTCGCAGAGGGCGTCGTCCGGATGTCGAACCACTGCTCGGTGCTGAATCGCTCCATGGCGGCGGATCTGCTCCAGGCGAGCGACCGGCTGCTGAGCGACACCTCGGACGTCTTCGTCCACGAGCGGGTGGCTCCGCGGCACAGGAATCCCCGACGCTGCGCTTGCCCGCACCCTGCAGGCCGTCTTGCTCGCTCCCACACGCCCTCCCAGCACAGATGCACAGACAGGGGGCCACATGCGAACCCTACCCATACCCCCCTCGATTTCTGGGGGGTAGGGGCAGGGTTCGCATGTGGCCCCCTGACAGAAGCAGAATCCGAGGCTCGGCATGACATCTTGCGGCTAGCGGTCGCAGCTGGGTAATTAGCCTGCGGGAACCAGTGCGGACGCCGGGTGCGCGACGCTGGCGAGGTGCGCTTCGCGTGCTGGGCGCACCAGCTGCGCCAGTCGCCCCAGGGGCCCCGGCGTGCCAGGCGCGCCTGGTGCGCCAGATGTGCCGCGCGCTCCACATGCGCAATGTGTTAGTGTTAAGTCGGGCCTGTCCCTCTACAGGAGGAATATTCAAAAATTGTCAAAAAATAGTCTCGGATTACTTTGGAGTTTTTTTTGACTACTTGGGGGCGTTCAAAAAAATGTTTTGCCCAAAGTCCGCCTGTAGGGGGACACGCCCGACCTAAGCAAAGTGCGCCACGTGCTCCACCCGCGCCGGGTGCGCGACGCGCGCAGAGTGTGCCAGCTACGCTGGTGCACGTGACAGCGCACACCGGGAGGCAGGTCGACCCCCACCCCCCCAGCCCTGTCAAGACCAATGCGGAATGGCGGGGTCGCCATTGTGGCTTCTGGCATGTGCACCCACACTCATTTGCTTTGCACTGGCTTTTGACAGGGGTGGTGGGACTGTCCGCATCGGGCGACATGCTGGCCCCTGGCGTCCCTGTCAAAGACTATCTGAAGTGATCGCTGGGAGCCCGCGCGTGGTCCAACATGTTTCCGCAGAGTGTTGTGTTTTGCGTGTACAGCTTTCCGAGTCAACGAATGGTGTAAGGGGTCTGAGTAATTTTGGTAAGCCCGTGTTTGAGAGACGGCATGCACAACGTGTGTGGCCAGAGTGCCGTTTCGTTCCCTGCCGTGCCGTGCTGCGCTTAGGTTCTGGGGTGCGCAAGATATGCCGTGCCGTGCCGTGCCTAGGTTCTAGAATGCGACACACGTACATGTGTTGTGTCGTGCCGTGCCCGGGCTCCAGGACGTGAAGAATATGCCGCGTTGGGCCCGCCCGCGTGCCGTGCCGTGCCTAAGTTCTCGAAGCTGAAACATGGGGCCTCTTGGGCCGTCTTGGAGGCGTCTTGGGCCGTCTTGGGGCCCTCTTCGGCCGTTGGGGGACCCTCTTGGGGGCCTCTTGGGCTGTCTCGGGGCGATCTTGGGGGCCTCTTGGGCCGTCTTGGCGCGTCGGGAAGCGAAAGAGGCAAGAACGCCAAAATCTGTCAAAAACGTTTGGGAAATTCATGAATTGTGCCTCTTGGGGCTCCCGTGGGGAGGCTCCTGGAGGCCTCTTGGGGCGCTTTGCAGGCCTCTTGGGCCGTCTGGAGGCCGTCAAGACGTCTTGGACAGATCGTTCAGCGATTCGGGGTTCTCTTGGATTGTTTTTGGGGCCTCTTGGGGCACTCTTGGCCCGTCTTTGGGCTTTTTGGGGCTCCGGGACTCCCCTGGGTATCTGGCCCCCCCCCCCCGGGACCCCCCTTCCCTGCGGGGGAGGGATCGAAGGGAAGGGGCTTCCCTTCGACTCAATTACGACGTTGCTCAACTTCGCTTTGGCTGGCGCGCTGAGGAGGTCCCTGGAAAAGGGGGGAGCTTCGACGAGCCTAGGGAAAGGGAGAGGCAGGGAAAGGGGACGACAGAGACGACGACCAACGAATGACGGAGAAGGCGACTTGAACGGACAAGCCCCTCACACACGCCGACAGGGTCGGCGGATTTCTGCATTGTGTTTGACAGGCATGGTGGGTGGTGTTGGTATGGTTTCGGGTAGGCGGCCAGTCGAGTGGGAGAGGGGGCGTTTGTTAACGAGGAACAGAAAGAGAGAACTCCTTTCCCGACGGGGAAGGCGGGGGGGCGGGGAAGTTGAGAGGACACGCGCGAAACCACCTCAGCCCAGAGGCTTGGTAGGATTTCACCATGTTTCCCCCCATCTCCTACGACCTCTCGAGCGCGCTTACAGTCCCGTCCACCATCAGACCGAAGGGCGCCGAGGGTGATGACCCAGACCACGCCTCCGCAATCCACAAGGCGGTGCGCATCACGCCGCGCACCGTGCGGGCGTGGCTGCAGCTGCTGACCTGGGCGCCGGCGCGGGGCCCGGCGGGTCTTCCGGAGGACCTCTTCGACACGCTCGAGGGTGTGCTGGTGCAGCGCTGGGAGGAGCTGGACCCAGCCGTACTCGGTTCTCCTCCTCGCGCACCCGCGATCGGGGACGAGACATTCACGTTCGAGCTCGAGGGGGCATACATAGTGAGAGACCCAAAGCCGCCCCCAGCGTGGCTCTACGCAGCGAGGCGCCTGTACCTGGGCGACGAGTCCTCTCGACCGCGGGGGTTCTTGCCTCTGCTGCCCCGCGGCGAAAAAAAAATACACGAAAAGGGGTCGAGACAGGAGCCGGTGACAACGTGGACGTCGTCGTTCTGGGCGTCATTCTGGCGTCCACAGCGAGGAGGAGGAGGAGGAGGAGGAGGAGGAGGAGGAGGAGGAGGAGGAGGAGGAGGAGAAGGAGAAGGAGTAGTAGGAGGAGGTGTGGCCACGGCTGCGCGCAGTTTGAAGCGCTGGCCAGGGTGGACCCCAGACGGGGTCTGCGCACTGGTTTTTTGTTGAGCGGATTTGGGTGGGGGGTTGGGGCGGGAAGGGCAGCGCTTCCACTGGGCAGCCCACGGTGGCCGCGCCGAGCAGCAGGAAGCACGAGGGACTCCCCTGCCTCCCCCCCCCCCTCCTCGAGGTGAAGTAAGACATCCTTCCCCCTCGTCTCCTCCTCCTCCTCCTCCACCTCCTCCTTCCTCCTCCCCCGATGGAAAGGCTGCGTCCGACCGTGGACTTCGAGGCCAATGTCAGCAGCTGGAGCATTTGGGACGAGCATTGAAGTGAAGAGAGGTGAGAAAGTGGGTCGAGAAGGGCGACGATGAGAGTTCGAGGAGGAGGAGGAGGAGGAGGAGGAGGAGGAGGAGGAGGAGGAGGAGGAGGAGGAGGAGGGAGGGAGGATAGAGGAGGAGGGAGGGAGGAGGAGGAGGAGGAGGAGGAGGAGGAGGAGGAGGAGGAGGAGGAGGAGGGAGGAGGAGAAAAAGGAGGAGAAAAAGGAGGAGAAAAAGGAGGAGCAAAGGAGGAGAAAAAGGAGGGGGATAGGAGGAGGAGGACAGGATGATGAGGAGGAGGAGGAGGAGGAGGAGGAGGAGGAGGAGGTCATGCAACGCCTTCCGAAGCAGACGCCACCAAGGGTGAGGGCCGCCGTGCTGCGCACCTGGCGGAATCGATGGTGCGCTGGGCGCCGCTTCGGCACCCGCGGTGGCCGGTGCGCGTTCGGCTGCAGGCTGGGCGACGACGACATCAGGCATTGCGTCCGCGACAACATCTGGGCGACGACGACGACGACGACGACATCTGGGCGACGACGCCGAAGATATGTCGCTTCGGAGCGTCCAAGCTGGGCCTGGTTGGCCCCGGCACCCCAGCAGAGCGCACTGCCCGCGCGCTCCTGTGGCAGCCCGGGGTCCCTGCCGAGGAGGTCGCCAGGGCGGCCACGAGGATCGCGGTCGGCTGCACGGCGCGCGCTGCCTTCCCCACGCCGCCCCCGCACGCCTCGACATCCCCAGGCTGTTTTCGGAGGTGCTGGCGCAGCCGCAGTAGCCGCAGGTGGCGGCAGGTTCCGCCAGCGATGATGGGGTGAGTGTGCAGTATGCTTTGGGCTGTTCTGGCCCCCTTCCTCCCCAAGGGCGCCCTCAAGGGCGCGAAGTTATTCGCGCCGCGCGGTTCGGCCCCGATTCTTCCTCATCCTCCTCTTCTTCTCTGGGGGGCGGCGCGCGCGCGAAGTTATTCGCGCTTTGCGCTTCGCGCAGCGCGAAGCTCGAAGTGAGGCACCCCTCCTCCCTGTCCTTCGCCTCCTCCTCCTCCTCCTCCTCCTCCTCCTCCTCCTCTTCCTCTCCGCGTCCTCCCACCATAGCTGGGAATGAGGTGCTTTCCCGTTTGTCCGGGGCCTCCCCCCCAAAAGCGGCTTTGACACTCTGGGCTCCGATAAAAAGTCGCGCAGGAAGTCCCGGAAGCGCTCGACAGCCACCAGAAGTGCCCAAGAGCGTCCAGAGCTTCGGCCTGCGGGCCCCTGGAATAATCTTCTTGGTTGAGGAATGAGCACTCGAAAGATCTGAGGACATTCTTACTCGTGCCTCAGGGCACAGTGGCGGGTAATCAAGAAGAGGACGTCAGGGGCAACGAGATGGGGGGACAGACAGAAGGGGGGATGCATCGACCCCCAATCGCGCATTGATCGCCGATAGGCGCCCGATAGCCCCGACCTGCCCAGAAACGTGCGGATTCACAATCGGGGGCATTCTGCCGATCTATCGACGATTTATCGCCGATCCCAGGTCGATGCATCCCCCCCATGCCAGCCCCCCTCCGTATCGTTGTCCCTCACGCAGTGCGCCCATGTTCCAGAAGATCGTTTCTGGACCACGGGGGAGAACATGATGCTTCGTTCACAACAAATGTTTGTTTCCAGCCTTGGCCTGCGTCTCGCCGCGGTGATGAGGATCATGCGGTTCTTCGGTTGGCGGGGCAGGATGTTCGGTATCGTTTAACCGATCCCCATCTCCATCCCCATCCCCATCCCCTTCGAGACCCCCACCAAATTACCACCCCAGTTGGGGATACACCGTCGAAACCCGAAGGGAACGACCTATAGCCCGATCTAAGGTGGTAAATCGGCCAGCGGGGCCCAGGCCACGCCGCTGGGGATGGGGATCGGTTAAACGGTGCTCAGATGGGGGCCGTGCGGTTTTTCGGGTGGCGGGGCAGGATTTGTCCGCCCCAGGCGCTGGTCGGCAGCAACATGGGTGCCATTTCTGGACGTGCCGGCCTGTCCGCGATGTGGGGCCCGTCCGCTTCCCCTTCTGTTAAGTCGTGCGTGTCCCTTGACAGGAGGAAAATTCAAAAATAGTTGCTTTACGGGGCCCCCAAACAGGGTGGTGATCACACCGTGTGGTGAGTCAGTGGGGATTCGGGGTTACCGCACGGTTTTGAGATTCGGGTCGTTCTCCGAGGACGTCTCGGGCGACTGGGGCATCCGAGGTCCCAAGACCGCGCGTTGACGGGCCGTGCGGTCAGGTCTTGGGGGATTTCGAAGTCACCGCACGGTCTGTCACCGCACCGTTTTGGGATTCCTCCCCCAAAAAACAAAAATATTGTCCGGGGACGATTGTTTTTTATACCATTTTTGAGTGTTTGTTGAGTATCTTTCACTTTTCATCCAAAGCCCGCCTGTAGGAAGACATGCCATGACATGCCCGACCTAACCCTCCTGCCTCCCCCCCTTCCCCCCCTCCTGTTTACGTGCTCACGCGCGTGTGGTCGGACGTGCCACTTCGTACTGGACGCCTGGGTTCCTCGAGTCCTGGGGAGGCCCTCTCGGCCATCACACTGTGCCCAGATTCCGCGTGGAGGCTCTGGGGGGGACTGATAATGATATAAGCGTAAAACTTGGAGGTCCAGGCGGATTTCCCGGATTGCGCCATGGGCGACGCCAGAGGCGCCGCCAGGGGGCCCCAGCGCCGATCCGAGGCATCCGTGCGGACCTCCGAGTTTTATGTCATGTCATTTTTTTATTCCCCTACCGTGGTGGCCAGTCCACAAGAAACCTTCCACAAGAAACCCAACCCTGAGACCACAGGATGTCCATTGGTTCTTGGTGTGGGAACGTCGCGCTTTCCACCGCAAAGCCATCGAACCCCCAAAAACCCACGGCACCCTGGAGGCAAGCAGGGTGTTTCTTGGCATGGGCCTCCACTGTAGGCGCTCCCGCCGTTTCTCCTCGCCTGGCCCCCCGGGGCGGAGCGCCCGCCGACCTTGCTGGGGGTGGGGGCTGGCCGCCGGGCAGGCCCGGCCCAGCGGCCTCCTCCGCTGCATCCTCTGCTGCAGCGTCGCCTCTCCCGTGACTGCTCGTCCCCGGGCACGGTGCAGCCCCTGAGGCACGGGCACGAGGGCAGCCCTCGCTCCAGCGCGCGGGCGCGCGGGGCGGCCTCTTGCCGTTTGAGGATATGCTACTCGGGGGAGGGCGAGGGGGGGAATTGAAAAGTCCTCGGGCAGTGGGGTCTCCGCTGTTTGAGGCCGGCGGCCACGGGGTGGTGGTGCCGGTGGCCGTGTCTCGGGGTGGCATCTCGAGGCGCCTCGCAACGGCGGCGCAGATGTGACGCTTGGGGCGCGTCTATGCTGCCATTCATGTTGCGAGGTCCGACTGCATGTGAATTCATGCAGGCATTTTGGGCACCTCCTTTCGGGTTGTGTCGCCCAGGTGTTGACTCCTCAGAGGGCGGCGCGGCCAGGCTTCTCAGAAACCCGGCCGCGCCTTCCGAGGGGCTGTTTGCGTCTTCGGGGAAGGCACAGAGAATTGCGCAGAAGGCCGGGGGGCTTCCGAGCCTTCTGAAAAGGCCCGCCCCTTTTCATTTCCCCCGCAGGCGCGCCGCCCAACTTCGGTGCGGGCTGCGGCATTTCATCCCCCCACGCACATGTTCCCTTTTTGTTTGAAGGCGAGCGCTGGTCTTGTGGAGCGCGCTGGCGCCTGTGCCCCGCGCCACTCTGCGTCGGGTGGCGGCAGTCGTGTCCTGGCACCTCCAGGGCATTTGGCTTTCGCCTGTCGGGGGCAGCGCTTCGCAGCCGAACGAATGGGGGAGTCATCTCTCGCTCCTCCTCCTCCTCCTCCTCCTCCTCCTCCTCCTCCTCCTCCTCCTCCTCCTCCTCCTCCTCCTCCTCCTCCTCCGCCCCCCTCCGCCTCCCTCCGCCTTCTCCTGACACCTGACACCTGATGGCTGCAAGGTTCGTCCGAGCGTAGCTTCCCCCCCTCAGGGCCGGTCCGCCCTGAGAGGGGCTGATGAAACTACAGCCGGGCCGCGGCAGAAGATTGAGGTCGGTTCGGGGAGGGTACCCTAATGTTCTTCGTGCTTGTGGGGTGTTCTTAGGCACCCGGCAAGGGTACCCTCGGATGTTCTGTGTGTTTTGACCGGCGGAGGGTCTCGTGTTCTTGAAGGGTGTTCTTCTGACCCGGGCCCGATTGTAGGGCCAGGTGGCCCATGGAGCACAGCCCAAAGAGTCACTGGCGGTGTAAGTAAAAAGTGCCATTGAGGTGTCAAACAGACAGACGAGGGGAGGGAGAGAGGAGAGGCGAGGGGAGGCCATCATGACGTCGCCTCCCCTCCGTTTCCTCCTCCTTCTCCTCCACCTCCTCCTCCTACTCCTCCTCCTCTTCCTCCCTTCTCCTCCTCTTCCTCCTCCTCGTCCTCCTCCTCCTACGCCTCCTCCTCCTCCCCCTCGTTTTCCTCCACCTCCTCCACCTCCTCCTCCTCCTGGTCATCCTCCTCCTTTTCCTCCTCCTTTTCCTCCTCCTTCTCCTCCACCTCCTCCTCCACCTCCTCCTCCTCTTCTCCTCCTCATCGCGCGCGCGAGTCTACATTTTAGCCGACATCTCATTGAGGCATCCGCGATAAATCTGCTATTGGAGTCAGTTTTTTTACGCGTGTTTCATTTCGGCTTGTGAGTTTTCCGCCAACAGTTGCAGACTGCATCGAGTGCGACGAGTGACATGTTGCTCATCGATGGTTCGCGCCCTATCCTCTGTCCTCCCCCCCCCTCTCCAAGACAGGTCCGCTGGAGGAGAAAAAGAGGGAGGAGGAGGAGGAGGAGGCAAAGGAGGGTACAGCAGGATGGGGAGGAGGACCGAGGAGAACGAGGAACAGGAAGAGGGCCGAGGATAGCTGGGACCGGAGGAAGAAGAGGGGCACTGAAGAGTCGGGCGCGCCCTCCCCCAGGAGCGGCCGCTGCGCGGGCGGCCGCGCTGCCCTGCGCTGCCGAGCGCCACGAGGCTGCGCCAGTGCCGGGAGGGGGGGACTCTGTGTGTGCGCATATGTGCCCTCACCATCACCCACCACCCATCCCCCCTCATCATTGACGTTTCGTTTGCTGCGCTTTCGACCGTGCTCGATCGCAGTTCGCACTTCCATCTGCTGCCCGCGCCTGAGGTCCCTCCTGCGCCGCTTGCTCAACGGTGTGCGTTCATCACCTGTCCTCTCGACGCTGCTGGCTCGGCTGCACTTCGCCTCCAGTTTCGCCTTACGTTTGCTGCCTGTCCTTCCACCAGGCGCTGCCCACGCCCGGGCATGCGCATGGCATGGTCGATCCTGGTGGATCCGTGTTCCATATCCCGAGGGGCGCTCCTCGCTCTCTCGGACCGCCTGTCTCCGCCTCGTCGCTGCGCGCGAGGCCGCCATCGCCTACAAGAACACGTGTGGTCGTGCGCGCGTGGAGAGGGGGACGGAGGCGCGCGTTTCAGAACCGCGTTGCTTCCCGAGCGGGACTTACTATCCAACGATGACCTGCACGACTGGCTGTCCGAGGCCTCGAGTAGCACATGTGTTGGCAAAGATGGCAAGTTCGCCGACTGCCCGGGCAAATTCGAAGCGCTGGCAGCGCAGCGGCGGAGCCCGACGCTCGCGTGGCGCGAGCACTCCTGCGAAGCGAATCGCCGTGAACCTGGGGAGGAGGGCAACAGCATCTGGCGTCCTGACTGCTAGCAGCCGGCTGGGATACGTGGCCCCATAGGGAGCTCCACGTGATGCCCCAGTGCTACCGCCCGCATGCGTTCCCCCCCCCCCCCACGTGGCCCCACAGGGAGCTTCACCGAAGAAGGTATTCACGATTGCGGTACCCACAGCTGCATATGGTTGGGTCCTTCGCCAGGATAATTTTCTATGTTTTTGGCCTTCTCGCGTTTTCGAGCTTCCAACGGTCCAAGACCGCCCCAAGACCGCCCAAGAGACTGACTCCCAGGACGGGCCCAAGACGGGCCAAGAACCCCCCAAGATTGCCGAAGAGGCGCCCGCGGCCCGGTACCGCGCCCCCCAGCCTTCCTGGGAGCTCCCAAAACGCTCCAGGACGCCCCAAGACAGCCCCAAGAACCCCTCAGAATGCAAAAGAACAGCCGAAGATGCTCTCAAGCAGTCCAAAACAGTCTGTGGACGGCTCTCCAGGCTCCCAGGAGGCCTCCAGACGCCTCCAAGACACTGCAAGAGAACTCCGAGACGTCCCGAGAGAGCCCGGAGAGCAACACAAATCATTGAATTTCAATGTTTTTCCCAACCATCCTGTGGTGTTGGGTCCTCGTTTTGAAGAGACAGCGCCCCGCGTCCCACTCACTCACTCACTCACTCACTCACTCACTCACTCACTCACTCACTCACTCACTCACTCACTCACTCCTCCTCTTCCTCCTTCTCTTTCTCCTCCTCCTCCTCCTCCTCCTCCTCCGCCTCCTCCTCTTTCTCCTCCTCCTCCTCCTCCTCCTCCTCCTCCTCCTCCTCCTCCCTCCTCCCCCTCCTCCCTCCTCCATGCGTTTCACCCGCCCAGTACAGCGCTTCGTGGCCCCATAGGGAGCTGCACCTAAGGCCCCACGGGGGGGTACCACATGCGTCCGCCACACCCACTCCACAGACGACCCCAGTGCTACCGCCCGCATGCGTTCCCCCCCACCCAGTGCGGCGCTTCGTGGCCCCACAGGGAGCTTCACCGAAGAAGATATTCACAATTGCGGTACCCACAACTGCATCTGGTCCTTCACCAGGATGTCTTCTGGACACTCGATTTCGAAATCTTTCCGAAACCGAAGGTTTTCGAAGGATTTCAGCATGCGCGCGCGACGACGCGCGCGTGTGCACTTCGGCATATGTTTTTGCAAACGATTCTTGAAACCTTCTGGTTTGGGATAAACGAGTGCGCGCGCATTGTATTCTTTGTTAGGAAACCGAAGGGGGTCGATACCAGCATAGCTGGTATCGACCATATATATATATGTATGTATATATATATATGTATTTATATGTATAATATGTATATATACATATATACATATATACGTATACTGGCTTGTATGGTCATACCATATGGTGCGTGTATCCCCTACGCCGTCGACCCTCCGTTCCAGAGCTGTTCTGGCTCGTGAGTTTCGGCACCGAGCCAGGCTCCCCTCTCCCGCGTCGTCGTGGTGCGTCCGCCGCGGCGCGAGGGTCGCAGTGCGCCGCGGCATCCGCGCGACGCCGTCGCGCGGCCTGGCGGCGGGCCTGGGCCACGGCACGCTGCGTGCGCTCGGTGCGCCGAGCACGAGCGCACGCAGCGTGCGGCGTCGTCGCCTCAGTCGGGGAGCTGCTCGGCGACGGCTTGGGGCTCGAGGTCGTCGAGGACGACGACGAGGCTGCGGCCGCCTTGGAGGAGCTGGAACCGTCGCCCGCAGACACGATTGTCATCGAGCCGAACTCGTTCTACTTGAGTACGGGGTTCAGCGGCGATGGGGAGCAGCAGTGCGATTTCGTGTGGTTGGCGCTGCGGGTCACAGACGCCTCCGAGCAGTTCGTGCGTGCGAGGTTCCTCTTCAGCGACGATGCGTACTGGGACTGGTGGGCGGCGTCTCCAGGCGAGGCGGGTGGGATTTCTCCCAGCGCCCTGCTGCACATCTGCACGGACGAGCTTGTCCACGTCGTGGACGCCCGCAGGCTGGAGGCGGAGGACATCGCCGAGGCCTTCTCTAACTGCTTGCCCCGCAACCCCGAGGCGGTCTGGCCCGCGGACCTGCTGGGGCCGCGCGCGGCGCGGCTGGCCGCCCAACGCCGGTCGGCGCACCCGACAAAGGAGAGTGCTGCGCCGCCGACACCCAGGGCAGCAGGGCCACATGCAGCCGAGCGCACGGTCGTGGGCCACGGCGCTCCCTTTGATGGGCTGCTCGGCGACAGTGCCCTGACCGCGCGGGCTGCAGGCCTCCCGCTCGACCTGGAGCCCGCGCGGGACGAGCTGCGGGCCAGGCTCGCTGCGGCGCGGGACCGGTTCGCCTCGGCAGCGCCTGGTGCCGCCGCGGCTGGCGCGCCTCTAGGCAGCGCAGAGGGCGCGCCGAGCGAGGGCAAGCCGAAGAAGCGGGGCCTCGCCGAGGTGCTCGCGGAGCGAATGGCGAAGGTCGCCAGGGCCCCCAGCGACGAGGCGGCGCGCGGCTCAAGCGGCCCAGCTGCTGCGGCTGTGGCCAGCGGGAGAGCTGCGGGCGAAGGCGTGAAGGAGCTGGCGACGGCGCTCATGGCGGTGCTCAAGAGCTCGGCCGCGCAGGCTGCCGGCAGCTCGGGCGCCGGCGCCGCCTCGGGCCCCCTCAGCGCGGCCGACGGGGCCGCAGCCACGGGGGGACTTGCATCCCAGCGGGCCCACTGCAGGAAGATGGCGCAGGACCAGCCAGGCAGGTTGTCGGAGCTCACGCTGATGCAGATGGCAGAGTTCCTCGGCGCCGTCGAGGGCGACGCGGCGGTGGACCCGACGACGGCGCGTATGCTGAGGCACCTGCTCACGATCTACGTGCTGCAGAACCCGGCGCAGCAGATCGGGGTGGCTGCGTATCGCGAGATGCGGACGCTCGCCGAGGCGATCGACTTTCTCCTCCAGTGCAGGATTCTTCAGGCGCTGGACATCCTGACCCAGTGGCTGAAGGCGGCGCAGGTGGCAGTCGGCGACGGGCACTGGGGCGCGGCGAAGTGGCTCGAGCTGATCCCCGCCAAGGACGAGCCCACCACGCTGCGCAACGTGGAGGAGGAGATGATCAGCAGCATCGAGCTCGGCGAGTTGAAGCTGGAGGAGCTCAGCAGCCGGCTTCGCAAGCCTCAGGGTTGAAGTGGAGGTCGGGGGGGGCGCGCCCGCTGCTGGCGCCTCCTCCTGCAGGCCAGGCGGGGGGGCGCCCCTTGCGACAGCGCGGCTGCTTGGCGATCGCGCGCCCGACCGCCCGAGGGCGCCGAAGGGCAGCGCGAAGGAGGGCGAGAGACCGCCTCATCAGCGAGTCGCGCAGCTCGACAAGAGCGCAGAGGAGCTGCCCGCTGGAGGCTTGCAGGCGCCGCGGAACTTCAAGGCGGCGAGGGCTGTCTGCCCGCGGAAGGACGGTGAGATGTCGAAGGAGTACAAGGCGCGGTTGCGGGACTTCATCACGGAGTCGCGAGGCCAGAGGCGGTGGCAGACGTTGCCGAGGCTGCCGGAGGTGCAGCTTCTGAGGGGGAGGGCGAGGCGCGGTTCCCGACCTGTGGCAGCGGGTCGCTGCTGGCGCATGAGGACTTCCCCCCGACTGGAGGCGGGGCGGGCAGGGATCCGCTTCGCGGCTGGAGCGCCTCCCAGCGGGGGCCAGCAGCGGGGGCTGGCGAGCACCTTTCTCCCACGCGGCATGCGGGCCCCCCCTGCCGCAAGCTGTGCCGCGCGGGGCGCCAGGGCGTGGCGCGACGACGTCGCGGCCCAGCTCGGCGCGACCATCAGTGCACCTCGTGCAGCTCGGCGAGCGCCACCCTGGCAGCCTGGGGACTTTCTCGAGAGAATGTGCAGAGCGCGTGTCCATACTTAGCGGGAGCGGCAGGCGCGTTCGTGACCTGTTGCCGTTGCCCCTGCCAAGTCTCCTGGCTGTGAGGCGCTGGTGCGCGAGCAGAAATGCTGGCCGCAGGTGCAGGGCCGGGCCTGTCGCTCGCCAGGTGGCTGAGGAGGCCTGGTTGCTTCTCACCGTCGCGGCGCTGAATTACGCGTGCTGTGGTCCCTGCAGAAAGGGTTGGAGGCCTCGCCCGACCTTGCCCCGGGTGCAGCAGCAGGCCATGGGGTTTCTGAAGTCCCGCGTCGTCGACTTCCTGCGGGGCCCGTTCGAGCAGGTGGGCGTGCCCGCCGCCGACGCGGCCCTCAGCGAGGCGACCGTGGGCTACTCAGGCGAGCCCGTAGCCGAGGCGTTGCCCTGCGTGCTCGCGGAGCTAGCGCCAGGCTTGCCGCAGCCTGAGCGCGCCGCGGTGCTGGGCGCCCTCGACTCGTGGAGCACGA